GCTGCCTGCACAGCACCCCCATGCTTGGTAGGGGGCGGGAGGTATGGCGGGGGCTGGCTGTCCACAGGCTGGGCATGACAGGGAGGCTCACTGGAGGTGGCACACTTCAGAGGGGGATGTCAGGGGACAGCGTTCTCTTGTAGTTGGGCCACAAGACTCCACAAGGACAGCACAGTGACTGATTCCCAGCGCTAGAGGCGAGGCGGTCGGCCATGTGTAGGTGTGTATATATATGAGTATTTATAGATATTTATAGAACAGGGCAAGGGCATACCACTGAAGGGGCACAAGTTTTCACCAATGGTCACGCCTGGAGGTGTCAGCTCACCACTACAACAGACTAAGTCACAGATGAAGGGGGCTGGCTTTGGGGCTAGGGAAGCCACTGTCAAGTCACAGAACAGCCGTCCAGGCAGGCTTGGAAAGGGAGGTCTCCGAGAAGAGGAGGGATCTGTTTAGAGGTCGAAGGGGGGCCTGGGGCTCTCAGGACGGGATGGACTTGCCTGACCCGATCGGCTGGCAGTTGGAGAGAAAGCAAAGAGAAAACGGGAGAGAGAAAATCGAGGAGAGAGCTGGTAAGGCAAGTGCAGCACACAGCCGGCTGGGGCCGGCCGCACCGCAGCAGGTGGGAGGGCCGGGGAGGGGAGGGTGCAGGTGTGGGTGTGGCAAGGTTCCTGGAAAAGAGGGGCTGGAAGGAAAAGGGGAGGAAGATGGAGGGAGGAGCTGTAGCTTCATAGATATTGCCTGGGGGCTGTGGCGGCCCTCCCCACCCCACACACGCTGGCCTCTCACACAGCACCCAGGCAGGGCACCCACAGTTCAAGCTGATGCTTGGTCCCCTCGGGCTTCCCTCTTCTCTGGTCACCCTGTCTTCCAACCCACCGGCCCAGGGCCACCCCTTGCCTTGGGGAGCCCCACGCAACAGCCACCAGGCCTGATAGAGAAAGAACACTGCTTGAACTAGGAGGGTGAAACTAAAAGGGATGGCTGGAGGGAGCGCCAGAGGCCCTTCTGGGTGGTCAGAAAACCCAGGACCCTCTGAAATGACCCTGGGGGAGGCAGGGAGGGCAGACAGCCGGATGCCAGTGGCCATAGACTTATAAGTCTAAGAGGGGAGCCTCAGCTGGTCGGGGGGCTGCAGGTCGCGTAGGTGAGGCTGGGCCCTTCCTGCTGGGAAAAGCAGAAGAGCGAGAGTCAGTGGCAGGAGAAGGGGGACGGGCTCACTGGGTGGAGCTCAGCAGGACCAGCAGGCACGGTCGTCCCCTTGGCTGAATGGCACAAGTAACCCTAGGAGCAACAGGCCAAGGTGCATGAGCCCCGCTGGCTGGCTACGGTGCTTCAACTGGGGCCAGGGACACTGCCTTCAGTCACACGCTAGCAGCTATGATGGCACCTGGGAGGGAGGGGAGCGGGCTGTGTGTCCCTGCCTGGCCTGTGAGGTGTGTTGTGGGATGACCGTGTGTATGGGACTCTCAAGCTTTTACCCTAGATCACCACTGGATTGCCAGCAGATAGAGGAGGTGGTACCCTGACTATCACCCCTGCTCTGCAGTGGAGTTGGCTCTCAGCGCTGCCAGGCTGGGAGCTGGATGCCTTACCCCAGGAGCATGACTCTGACTGCACACCAGGCACGATGTGCCCAGGATGACATTCCTAGGCCTCTGGCCGCCTCACAGTCCAGCCCCACACACAACCCCCTCCAAGTTCCCAGCCTTTACACAATAAACCACGAGCTCTCTGCCCTCTCTGATGGCTCCAGAGAGCACCCATGTCTGCCAGCTTGGGCACGGAGCCTGTTCCAAGAGTCCCCAGGCTCAGCCATGGAGGCCTTGGGCAGTGGCACTGAGTCCCGAGGCTCGCTGGGAAGGGAGGTGAGAGAGCCAGCGGCACAAGGACAGAAAGAGGAAAGAGCAAGTGTACAGCTGCAGAAGGGAGGGGCGGGGAGCCTGGCTCTGAGGTCCCAGGTGCGTGCCCCGTGTGGAGCTAGTGCAGCGGGGCAGACACACCGTTCATGCAGCAGGCGGTGAGGCAATACCTACCATGGCTGACGCTCCTCAGGGGTCACTGATAGTGATTCTGAAAGACAGCACGAAATCAACATGGCAGTTCACACGCACGGGTGGGACAGGCCTGGGGGTGGGGGACACACACACGCACACGCCCGGGCGTGCACACACATGCTGTGAGGCCCCATGGCCCACATGCACACGCTAACACACATGCCCACAAACAACACGCATACGCCTCCTTCCCTGCCACCTCCCGGTGCCCAGCACCCTCACTGGCCGGCGGCACGTGCAGCATGGATCTGGGGCATGCAGCCACTCAGCACACTGAAGCACACGTGTGGGCAGAGTCACAACACAGAAGCTCACCCGCACACAGAGGCATTTGCACCAGCTCCCTGCACACTCGTGCCTGGCGTGCTCAGAGGACCACCCGTGCTGCTCATGGAGACAGGGCTAGCTCGCTAATGTCCAGCTGTCATTTCTCCACCTAAGAGCCTTCTGTGGTTCCCTACTGCCTACAGCATTGAGCCCCAACAAGTCAAACTCTTCGGACTTTGAAGGTTCTCCATCCTATGCCCCACCCTCCCCACAGAGCTCTTCCTCATTCTGTCTCTGTTCTCTGCTTTGGCCAGTGGCTGTCCTCGATGCAGCCCACACTACACCTCTGCCCACACTGCAGCTCTTTACCCAGATACCCTCCTTGCCACATAAGCCTATCTCAGCCATGCCTCAGACCGCACTGAAGTCAGGTTGCCTTGAAGAAGCTCTCCCAGACTGCTCTTTTCCCCAAGGTAGCGTCATGATTTGCCAAAAGTTTCATGTGTGTTAGCAAGACTGGAGTCAGGCTGGCATCAAACCTTACGTCACATATCTCACACCGCACCATAGACCTGGGTGCCAAATCTGAACTCACGTTGGCAGTTAGCAAAGTGCTCCTACGGCTGCATCTGCAGTTAACACAGCATCCCTATAGCCATTGTCTCCCTCGATCCCCACAGCCACCCTGGGAGAAAGGCAGAATGTCATCATTTGGTAGAAGGGATGCTGAAGCTCTGGGAGGGAAAGAGACATGTCTAAAGGCGCAGGGTAAAGCAGCATCTCTGGACTCCCAGTCCAGTCCTCTTGCCCAATACCATGCTGCTTGCCTCTACCCATCTGCTTTGGTCATCAGAGCATCACAGGGCAAGCCCCAATCCCTGCCTCATTTTGGTTTATGGGCGCTAGACCCACAGCCCTACCCTCCAGCCATGCAGAAACAAAACAGATGCTATTGTCCTGCAGTGTTCTTCCTTAGAGAATGTGGCCAGTGGAAACAGGGCAGACTGGGAATTGGAGTGAACTTCCTTGAAAGAGGGTCATGGGTCAAGAAAGTCAAGCCAAAGGATGCAGTAGAAAGCTTTTCCTTAGAAATCTTTGGGAATGAAGCAGGCTTCAGCCACTCCCATCCCTGCCCCTGCCGCCACCCCTACCACATTGGTTTAGACTGGGTAGGCAGCGGGGGGTGGGGGTGGGGAGGAAAAAAACCATCAGATTGCCCAAGGCCCCAGGCTCCTTCCCCAGCTGCTCCTGTCCTAGCCCGGGCCTGGGTGCCATTCTTACACTCTCACACTCGTGTGCACGCCCACACACACATCACACACCTCTCTAGTCACACAGTCACAGCCTGGTCTCTGCTCCTGTGGGCCAGTGGCTGGACACCCCCTGGGATGGCTCAAAGGAGTCAGGACTGGGAAATGGGGACATCAGGGTAGCTGAAGGAAATCCACACACCCAGAGCAGATAGGGGTTCAGACTCAGACCTAAGGTAGGCTCCGTAGGGGCTGGGAGAGGAATTGGACGGAATGGAGGATGGAGGACAGCAAGAAGAAAGGAGGAGGAATGCAATGTGTGGGCGGCCGCCAAGAGTGAAAATAGAGGGAAGCGCCATGCAAGTGCTGGAAAGAAGGGGGCAGGTGGGACGAGCCCCACAGCCCCCTCCCCAGAAACGACCACCTCCGGGACTCAGCGCTCCCTCGGGGGCAGGCTCCGCCAGCCCTCGGCCACACGTGGCGTGGCTCCGGCACCCAGAGTCCGATTGCCTGGGATGGAAACGGCCGGTTCTGGCGGCCGGGTCCGATGCTCTGGAATCCAGCCCCATTTCCCTCCCGGCCACGCCCGTCCGGCAGCCTCTCCAGCCGCATTCAGCCCCTACTCACCTGGGGACCCCGGGCGGGGCGCGGTT